TAGGGAAATGCTTGGTGATCTTAAACACCACCTCCTTCATAGAGGATAACTCTCATAGGTCAGCTGATTGCAGCTGTAGGCTATATTACTGAAAAGGGAACATTACAAAGAACGTAAGAAATGAAAGAAGAACATGTACTGAGTTTAAGTTAGGATTGAAGGGCATGGAAGTTGTTTCGTTGGAGAGAACTACTGTTGCTGGGTTTTTTTGGGTTGTCTGGTCATTTCACGCCACTCCATTTTTCTACTCCTTAGCACTTTATTGGCCAGCGTGAGGAGTTTGAGACAGCGCGTGATAGCATCCTGGTATGGCTAACAGAGATGGACCTGCAGCTGACCAACATTGAGCATTTCTCAGAGTGTGATGTCCAAGCAAAGATAAAGCAACTTAAGGTAAAGAATGATTGAATAGTAACAAGAGGAGGGATGAGCGAAGGGTTGAAAACACTCATGGTAGGAAAACAATTTAAGAAACATTATGAAAAAATGCAGCTTGATACAGTCCCTTACTTGCAGCCTGAGACTTCAACCTCAGAAGTTAGGGCCATATCAGTTTTCAATATGTACTCTTCTGCTAGAGTGAAGATCTTTGCACTATGAAAAATTTTAAAAAAAAAAAAAAAATTTTAAAAAAAAAAAAAAAAAAAAAAAAAACACCCAAACACACAAACCAGAAACCTCCACCATGTAAGGGTCATATTCTTCATTCCCTAGGCAAAAGAAGAAATGTTGATGAAAATTATTAGTGTCAGGTCTCCATTATTGCTGGCACCTAAGGAATACTACATCTATCAACAATTTCTGCTTCAGAAAAATCATTTTCAGGAGAGAAAAAATATCAAATGTCATGTTATCCAAGATTCCAGTGTGTTAGCTTTAGCATCTGTGTTCCTTCTAGACATTTGGTCATGGGCACGGCTTGTTTAGAGAAGAACTTTCTTTCCAAATACAAGAAGTGAGGAATGAGATGGTAAACCATGAAGTATCACTGGTTTTGGCTAGGAAGACTGTGGAATGCTAAATGTAATTGCTTATTGTTCCTTTATGCCAGAATATTTGGAATGATTCCTGTTTGTAACCCACACCATTCTTGCTGAAAAACCCTAAGACTTGCACACTTAATAACTTTGGTTGTTGTGATGTTGATTTCATTGAAGAAGCATGAGCTTTTCTTTTATGCAGGCTTTCCAGCAAGAAATTTCACTGAACAACAACAAAATTGAGCAGATAATTGTGCAGGGTGAGCAGCTCATTGAGAAAAGCGAGCCCATAGATGCAGCTGTCATTGAAGAAGAACTAGATGAATTGCGGCGTTACTGTCAAGAGGTCTTTGGACGTGTGGAACGCTATCACAAGAAACTCATCCGCCTTCCTGTGTGTATACTTACATGCATACGTATTTGTTTGGTTTGTTACTATTTTGCAAGTGTGAGAAAGATGTTGACATGAAAATCCTGTAAGTTTCCAAAAACCCTGTGGTTTAATTTTGGTACAACCTTGACCATCTGCTTCCCTTCATTATATGCTATTCATGTCCTATTCAGAGAGTAAACTCCCTGGATCTAGAATTTTTGTAAATTTGATAATCCATGCAAATTGGAGATGTATAAAACTTTATACGCAGGGATAGCTGTGTAGTACTGTTAATAAGAACATCTCCCTATTCTGTCAGATAGTTTCGTTGGCAGCTTTTTGAGTTCTGTTTTGTTTAAAAAACCATAGTGATAAAATTATTCTCTCCATCAGAAGAGACAGAAATTTGTCTCTAGAACTGAACGCACGCTGAATAAGTGAAAGCAAAATGATTTCTGGTAGCTCAAGTCCTACTGAAGGAAAGGAACAAATCCCAGGGTTTTCAAAAAGTGAAAGAATATAATAAGAGCAATGATCACAATAAAATAGTCTCTTACATTTCTTATAACTTGATTCCAGAGTTTTCTTTAGTTGGTGTCTGCATTGCAGTGGCATCAGTAAAAAGTCTGGAGACATATGCTTGATGTGAGACTTTGTGGTGCCTTAAGTAATTAAAATGAGCTGGCATTATGAACTTTTTTGTTGCTTCGCCTTTTTAGTGCACCTTAAAATAGCGAAAGGGAAGTGCAAAAGAATGCAAAATGGAATCCCCATCAGTGTGACTGTTGCCTAATGCTCCTTTATTTCGCCGCCCCAGGCTGACCGTGCAGTGCCTTTGCACATTTCATTGATCAGTTCTGTTTGCGTTATGCTTCTAGCTGACAGATGACGAACACGAGCTCTCTGATAGAGAGGTGGATCTCGATGAGTCAGCAGATCTCTCTGACATACGCTGGCATGACAAATCTGCGGACAGCGTTCTCTCCCCGCACCCCTCTTCCAACCTTTCGCTGCCTCTTTCCCAGCCGGTGAGAAGCGAGCGATCAGGGCGAGATACCCCTGCGAGCGTGGACTCCATTCCTCTGGAGTGGGATCACGACTACGATCTTAGCAGAGACCTGGAAACAGCAGTTTCACGGGCACTGCACTCTGAGGAAGAAGACAGAGGACAAGAGAAGGATTTCTACCTGAGAGGAGCAGCTGGTATAGCAGGTATAGTGGCAAATTGTGTGTCCTGTTCTCTCCTAGTAAAAAGCAGCAAATGTTGCATGTGATTGCTTAGCCAAGATGCTCATGGAAAAATATTTTAAATAGCCCCTAAAGATTTTAAATAGCTTTCCCTAATTGATCGCAGTGGCCTTTTGGCCTCAAACAAAGCAATGGAGATTCCTGGATGACTACAGCCTTGGAAAAATCACAAAGGCGTATATGATATGACAGGGAATTGGCTGTTTCTCTGGGCTTGTGGCCTGCCAGATGGGATGTGTCATCTGTAACAGCAATGTGTCATAAGTTATTCTGTCTGGAAGGAACTCTACTGGATATGACAAGAAGTGCAGAACAAACTGGTGAAGAAATGCTGTGTGAGAGATCCACAAACAAAATCATCATGTTCTTAAGTAACTCTTAACTCAGTCCTTACCCAGACAAGGCCCCAGAAATGAATATTTAGCCTGAAGTGGCATCTTGGGTCTTGTTCTCCATTCAAGTTAAAAATCCTTTCTAAGTGTGTGTGCTTTTTGTAATAAATCTTTTGCAAGTATAAGGGCCCAAATGCAGCCAGTTGTGGGAGAAGAATTCTGGTATATTATACTCTCATCTGGTGGCTGTTGTTTCCTTTCCAGGTCTTTGCTCTGAAAAGTCAGGTTTGCCTGGATATTAAGAGTCTTTGTAGCAGGCTCCCTGTGTTTCAGTCTTCATGTTTTTTTCTTCTCAAGAAAGGATGTTTGTTGCTGGAATTGTTTATATATTTTATCCCATGAAAAAGATGACTCCTGGAAGGAGACAGCCATTGCTGAGCTGTCAATTTAGACTGTGCTTTTATTTTTTCAGATGTAGAGATCCCTGAAACTCTTGAGGCCTATGTAACACTCACAGAAAACACACTCAAAAATATCTCTGGTAGGCATCAAAAAAGACTGAGCATAGCCAGATGCAAATACAATGGTGCACAAGCATAACTTCTTTCTCTTCTCTTAGTATCTGCTATACTTTTCACAACTTAAAAGATATTTCTTACATAGCAGCATTGGCATGTTAATGTAGAAGCACTCTGCTTTACTATTGCGCTTAAAGAGTATTACTAGGTGCATGGATGGCTCTCCTACCTCAGCTAACTGGACTAAACTGATCAGTAGGTAACCCTGGTCTTTATTCTCTGGAGTCCCTTGACAGGACTTAATACTTTCTTATGTCTCTGAGAGAAGAGTGGTTTCTACAAGGAAAAGATACAGAGGAAAACATTATTGTTCAGTTTTGCAATTATTTTTTTTAACACAACCACAGCTTGGATTATTACTTAGATGTAAATTTTTAGCTTAGTTGTTTTTTCATACTAATGCCAATGTCTTTATCGTAGTCTTTTATAGTGGAAGATTAATTTTTTTTTTTTTTATATTGCTTTTTTACACAAGATTAAATCTTCTGTTTTGTTTGTTACATGACTCTCTTGGAAGGATTAGATGCACTTGCAAATACCTTCTCTCATGATTTCAGTTTTCCTCTTTTGAAGTAATGACTTCATTGCAAATTTGAAATAACAAACATTTAAAATCTCAGCATCTGTGGCACAGACCTCAGGTTCACTGTCCATTTTTATTTTTTCCCCACATTAGTGTACCAATATTATGATTGATTAAGAGTATAAATAATAGTAACAGATAGAGAAAAACATACTTAGTTTTCTGACCTGTGAAAATTTTCAATGTAGTAAGGGAAAAGCAATACTGAATGCTTTGTTCTGTCCATTTGGGGCGAGGTAATGTTTTTATGAAAAAACGTTAACCATCAAAAGGTATCCACTTTCTGTTATTAGGTGGATGGAAGGCTCCCCTTCTTTATGTATGTTTCTAATTGTGTCTTCATGAATAAATTCAAGCTGTCTTTGTAAACAGATGAAAATCAGGCACAGTGATAGAATATAGGTAAGAGGGATCTCATGTGGTCCTCTAGACTGCAACCTGCTTCAGATTAGAATTGGCTGTAGCTAATTTGTATCACCGAATTGAACTCAGCTGATCCCTATAAGGAAAATACAAGTTTGTCCTTTGTCAAAAACATTGGTATGAGTTCCGAACAGCTTGGATGAATAATACTGTCTGGCAGATACGTTAAGCATAGTTTTTGTCAAATGTCTAATTGGAAAAATACTATAAATCTTGCTATTGAGTGTGGTTGCCTAAATTAGTTGTGGACTACTTGCTTTGGGCCTTCAAGACTTCTAGTCTTCTGTGGATCTTGAGAATATCGCTTAGTATTTGTATACCACTTCTAATCTTCTAAGGTGGAGAGAAGTAATAAAAAGAGAAATAAAAAACAGAAATTAGCAGAAATAAGATTTTAGGAGATTGGGGTACAAGGTTTTATTTGGGAGTGCTTGTGAAAGCGAGGGAGCAAGACATTCTCTGAAATCAGTGAGGTTGCAGCACGCTTTGCCAAGAACTTTGCCCTTCAGAGAGGTGAAGAAAGCTGAAAAAGTCATTTCAGAATAGTTTGCAATCCTGCTTTAAACTGTGAACTCTTTGGTAGTATGTTTGACAAGCATGCTCATTGGTCATCTGTCCTCTGAAGGTCACTAACAACCTCTAATGTACTACCTACCAGTTTGCTTTGACATTGTACCACTTGTACCTTTGCAGACACGTTTCTCCTTTACTGTCTAATCTAGATACTATTCATGATGTTTATTCTGCCTGGGCAAAAGATTAAAAAAAAAAAAAAAAAAAAAAAACTTCAGGAAAAATTGGTAAGAGTCACTTTTTTGTTTTGGTACAGGAGAACCTGGTGCCCTGGAAGCACATATCCGACAGCTGGACAAGGCTTTAGACACCAGTCGTTTCCAAATACAGCAAACAGAAAACATCATCCGCAGCAAAACACCTACAGGACCAGAGCTGGATTCCAGTTACAAAGGATATGTGCGTGTATTTTTGGAGCACAAGTCAAATAAGCACTCCAAGCTTAGATTTGCTATTGAAAGAAACGTAGCTGTTTCAACAAAGCAATTAGATATTATTTTTTCTTAGACTTACTCATATGGTTGCTACCCTTAACCACATGCTATTGTTTTATATCTTATTAGTGTATTTACAATAGCATAAGATTACAGGAACATGACTCAAAGGAATTTATTTTCCTATTATCTTTTTGCAGATGTCTAAAGGTACTTTCTCACATATATTTTTGTCCATCTAGTGATGAGATCCTTGTTTAAAATTCCTCCACCTTTAAAAGCAGGCTTTATAGCTTCATGCACAACATTCATCTTGCTGATGAATTGTAAACGTGCATCATGTAAGCAAGGTTGCATGTATGGAATCCATCATTAAAAAGCTTTCTCAGAAAGATTTTCCAGAAGAAAAATCTCTCTAAACCATTAAAATAATTTTATTGCTGACAGAATTGAAAGATTAGCTGCCTGCATATATACTAATATTTCCACACTTATGTTTATTTTCTTTATCGTGTCTTCTGGTGTTTTTGTCATAGTGTCTTAATGTTTAGAACAGATGGCATGTAAAGTCATCCAGCATGATCTGATACAATGGCACTGAGTTATTTCTATTTAATCTGAATGTACACTTTAAGCCTTCAGTGTCTCCATATACTTTTCTTTGATAGGATCAGGGCAGATTGTAAAAGATTTTTATCTTCATACTTAGACTATTTTTTGAAAATTTTGGAAGCTGCCTTGTAATTTGCATTTTTCATGCTAGTACTCCCGTACAGTGCATATCGACATGGGATTTTTTTGTTTATTAACACAGATGAAACTACTAAGTGAATGCAGTGGAAGCATAGACACAGTAAAAAGGCTTGGATATAAACTGAAGGAGGAAGAAGAAAAATTGTCTGGACTTATTAACCTAAACAGTACTGAAACACAAACAGCTGGTAAGTAGCACTTAGTTCTTTGATGGAAAGCAATTACGAAAAGTGGCAAAACTGCAAAGTTTTTCTGAGTATTATTATATTACTTGGTATTATTTGCTGAAATATATATATATTTACAAGACTATGTCTATTACCATATTATGTTTAACAGTCCTTAATGGGAATAGAAAGTATTCCTCATATATGCCCTATAAAGAGATTTAGCATACAAGTACATTTTAAGAACACCTTGATATATTGAGACATAACCCTAAACCTTTTAGAAAGTCCCTGTGGATGCAGTGCTTTTTTATTGAGCATTGTCTGATGATAAAAGGTTGCTTATATTGTTGTACAGAACACGTAAGTTAGCATTCATTTCTTCTTTTTGCTTTCACTTGTAATATTGTCTGTCTACAGTACAGAAATCTATATTCACCTGGTAGAAGTATTCACCTGATTTATTTTAAGCATCAGTGGTAGAACAGGAGGTATTGCATTGTGAAAACATGGATTTGTTCCAGAGACTATGAAGGCAACATCTCCATTCTTAGCTTGGCAAGATATGCTACAAATGCAACCATTTAATTTTGTGTTTGTTTGTTTGTTTGCTTTTAATTCAAGTCAATGGAATGATACAACTTGTCTTCTGCCATAGCATTACAAGATAACTAACAACAAGAAATAGCCCCTAATTTGTTTCTAGTGCAGGTATTTACTTAATGCATCAGCAGTAGCTTAGGCAAATGTAATGAGGTATGAGTATTAAAATGTGATAGATACAAATACCAATGAAAATTATTATAAATATGTGTCTAGATATACGCAGATTTCTTGTCTGGTTTGCATGTATGCTAATTTATGATGTCTGCATACCAGCATAACCTCTTTTAGAAACCTGCATGTATCAACTTATTTCTGTTCATAAAAGTCTAAAATTAGAAAGTGGTAAAATTGCCTACTGCCTGGTTTCTTCATTCTTTCTCTCCAACATCATGTTTTTTCATTCTAACATAGTTTTCAGAGTGGTGTTTTTTGGGTTAGAGTTTTTTTATTTTTATGGAGCGTTTTTTTGTCCTGCACAGAATTTAACTGATAAAATTGTGTGTCCACCTAGTGATTTTTTTTTGCCTTTGTTGAATTTAGTGTTTATCATTCCAGGTGTAATTGACCGGTGGGAATTAATCCAGGCTCAAGCTCTAAGCAAGGAGTTAAGGATGAAGCAGAACCTTCACCAATGGCAGCAGTTTAACTCTGACCTTAATAGTGTTTGGACTTGGTTGGGAGAAACTGAAGAGGAACTGGAGAAGCTCCGCCACCTTGATCTCAGCACAGACATACAATCTATTGAGCTCAGAATTAAAAAACTGAAAGTGAGTTTTATTTGCCTTTTTTATCAGTTACTTTATAAACATATCTGAGTGCAACAGGTATATTGAAGAGATTGTCAATAGTTGCAGCTGGTTTGCTCCTTCATGCACATTGTAGGCCACTGCTGATAACTGAAGTAACTGGGAAAGTGATTTTATGAATGGCCTTTTGGCAGAAAAATGTACTGTTGGCATTTACTATATAATCGAAATGAATTCTTGAAGTAGTAATTCTGTTCCAGCCCTGTAATTCCAAGCTGATGGGGAGAAAACAAACAAACAAAACACACCACCTCACTGGGACATACTGCTTTGTGTGGAGGAAGGAGAGAATGCCTAAAGGAGTTGTAGCCTACCCACTGCTGTCACCAGGAAAACATAGGAAAAATTTGGTGTCACTTCACAACATTCCTGTTTTTTCTTCTGTCATCTCGGATGCCTCAGGACCTGACTGCTGACTTGGCGCTCTTTCCTGGATATTTTACATCTAAAATATCTGCAAATGTGATAGTCCACAATTTCACATTCAGTTACTAGCATCTTATTAGCTTGGGCACAAGAATATGGGAGCCAATGTCAAAATGCACTGTTGCTTCATGCTAGGAATGAGGTGGACAGATAATGATGACTGTTTCCAACAGTGATCTATCTAAAGCATAGTAATGCTGATCTTCACTGGAATCCAAATATAGCTGCCATAAGCACTACAAAGGTCACTGTGACATGGGACTTATAAGTAAATGCTGTAAAGTAGGTGGAAAAGGGGGCTTTTCATAAGAATCCTGTTCTTATCTCACCCACTCTTGGAAAGCCCATTAGTGAGTGCCCTCCAAACCAATAGAGGTGTGCTTTCTTTTGTGGCTTCCAGTGTAAACAAGTCAGAGTTTTTATACAGGTCCTGCTTCTATAAATTGGAGTAAGTTGTTTATACTGCTTTCATGTTTCCTTTTCCCTGGGTAAAAGCTTTTATTTTAAAATGCTTTTGAAAGCACTTTCCACTTGAAAACATGTTGGGTTTTATGTTTATCAGCAAAACTGGAAGTGAGAGCAGAAATTTTATTACTTTTAGCAAAAGAAGTACAATTGTCCTCCATCTCTTTAAATTTTGTTGGTCCTGCTCTGTCTTTAAAATATCTGAAACTTGAGCCAAGTCTTTAAAATTCAGCTATGACTTCAGGCTTTTAAGACTTTACAGGTTTAATTGGCATGTTCTAGTTTATGCTCACAGTGAAATTTTAGTAGATTTGCATAGTCACAGAGTGAACACAGAAATCTCCTATCCAGAGTAAAGAGACTTTAACAGTAAGGTAACATTCTGCAGCTGCAGGTGGAAAATCATTGCATTCTTGTGGTACCTTCTCTGTTTGGTTCTTCTGAAAGTCACGTTTTACTAATTTCCATCCTTTCTTCCCCTGTCCCACTTTGTCTTATCATCAAGGAGCTGCAGAAAGCGATTGATAACCGCAAAGCCATCATCTTATCCATCAATCTGTGCAGCTCAGAGTTCACTCAGTCTGAGAGCGAAGAGAGCAAGAAGCTTCAAGAGCACCTGTCTCAGATGAATGTGCGCTGGGACCACGTGTGCAGTATGATTGAAGATTGGCGCTGCTCATTGCAGGATGCGTTAATGCAGTGCCAGGTCTGTGTTGCACTTATTTCGAATTGTCAGCATCCCACATGCCAAAAATCTAAACTGTGTTGTTTTTCCAGTCTGAAACTTGCCCGTGCAAGCCAAAATAAAGCTTCGGTGTGTGTTTACTGAAAGCTACACCTGCGCTACCTGAAGCATGTGTTTCCAGCCCAAGATTTTCTAAATTTGTTGTCTCTGGAATAGTATTCTAAGACACTATTCTACACTTCCTTGTTAATTACTTTATTTAGCAAGTAGGACCTATCTATCATAGGATAAACTGAAAACCTGAATTTGGCTGCACTGTTAAAATCGTCACTCATCACTTGCAGGATTTCCATGAAATGAGCCATGGTTTGCTGCTTTGGTTAGAGAATATTGACAGAAGAAAAAATGAGATTGTGCCCATCAGTCCAAACCTGGACTCAGAAACACTGCAGGATCATCACAGACTTCTAATGGTAGGGCAATAATCACCTCTTTCTCTCCCAAAATGCGTCATGAGAAAGACACCTAATCACATTTATCCTTTCTCTTGAGGGTTAGCATTGTACAATGCAAGTTACGACATAACTGTGGGACCAAATTTAGTAGCTAACTTTACTTTGATAGGGAACACTACGCACTTCCATTAGTGGCATAACACATGATTTAAGATCTCAGGCAACTGCTACCCTGCTGTCTATCTTCCTGTCAGATTAGAAAATTTTATTGCTTCTCTTTTCTTTAAATTTTACTAATTTCAAATGTCGAGTTTTGTGAGTTCTAGCTTTTTTCCTTTTTTTTTTTTTTAACCTCTATTAAAAAAATCTGGTGCTTGCATTGGCAACAGCAAATCAGACGTGAACTGCTGGAGTCTCAGCTGAAGGTGGCGTCACTGCAAGATATGTCCTGCCAATTGCTAGTCAATGCTGAAGGCAAGGACTGTCTTGAAGCCAAAGAAAAGGTGCACGTCATTGGAAACAGACTGAAGGTCCTCTTGAAGGAGGTCACACGTCATATTAAAGACCTAGAGAAAATTCTAGACATTTCAAGTAGTCAACTGGTAAGTCACGTCTTTATTCCTTGGGGAATTTGTTGGGTGCATGTATCGCCGTGTTTTGACTGTCTTTCTCTGTTCAGTGCTCTTGGCCACACTGTTTCTCTTTCGTGGCATATTTATTAAGGGGGTACACATGTAATATTGAATATCATAAAATAGTCTTACTCTTCATAATATAAACGTCTCTTCTGCGATATGGTGAGTTTTTTTAATCCAGTAATTTTTTGCTAATTTGTGTTGCAGTATGTAATGAGCATCTTGGTTTGTTTATCCTGTCATTACTGATTCAGTCAACTGGCAAAGTGTATGAGATAATTATTCTACTTGCAGTACTGAAAATTATAGTGTGTCAGTTGTCACTAGAAAAGAAGGTAATGCTCAACTCTGACAAAAAGAAAACAAAAAAAACCCACATAAATTCTATAATAGGCTAACAAATCTCTCATAGTGCCTTCTGAACTTTGGGCTGTGTTCCAAATCTTTTCAAATTATCATGTATTTCAGGGTATTTGAGAGTGAGTTATAGATAAATCTTTTCCAAAAGTGACAAGTACAAAATAAAGATTTCAGGGTTCTCCTTTAGTTGACTTTTGTAAGAGGTTTGGATTAACAGTGTGCATAAGGCAGGAGAACTCAGATCTGCCCTCTTTCTAGTGAATTTCTGCCTGTTTAAGTAAAATCTTGGTGGTTACCAACCTCTTCTTATAATTAAAGGCCAATAAAGAGCATCTGGTTTTTCCCCTGTATCAACTTTGTCGGAAAATGCGTCCCCTAAAGCAATTAAGTTTTAACTACCTGTTTGCTTCTCTTTTTCTTCAGGGCTAACAGAGAAAACATACAATGCCATAGTCTTATGAAACTTGGTAACAAAATGTAATGATTTTATTTGCTTTGAAAATAACTCTGCTGGGATTTCAGTTAGGGCTTTTTTTTTTTTTTTTTTTTTGGTTTGCTTGCCTGAACAGCTAGTTGCTGTATTTCTCAGCTCCATTCCTTCTGAACTTTAGGAACTGTCTTCGTGGTCCTCTGCTGATGAATTAGACACGTCGGGCTCAGTGAGTCCTGTATCTGGAAGAAGCACTCCAAGCAGACAGAGAACGGTAATTTCATGTCATATATTTTCTGCCATCTCCTGAGTGGGAGATCTCCATGTCTACACTAGCTCTAGCCAGTAGGAAGTCCAGTCCTTCTCATGTGATAGGAAAAGAAATGGTATAAACCAAGAACAAAACACAGCTGCTTTTCCCAACCCTGCTGCATATCCCATCCTGCATGAAATCAGAAGTGGTAAATACTATCTAAAACCAGGACTGTCAATGTGGTTGGTTTACCATGGTATGGCATGTCGTGTCTCTTGTATTTTGCTCTAGTGATGGCAGCACCCCAAAGTCTGGTCTTGTCTGGTATAATCAGTCCTCCATTTCTGTTTGGCCTTCTCTTCAGAGCTGCTTCATCAAGACTCTCAATAAGTGCTTTTTTGTAATTTCTGATGAAGGTTGCAGATGGTCTTATTGAGACGTTGGATGAATGGCTAAGTAGAGCTGAAGGGCATAAAACAGTATTCAAAAGAGGTAGTTGCACAGGACCTAAACAATGGCTATGATGGCAACTCTGGAGTTGTCTATTTACATCGCTGGCACAAAATTCAAGAAATATAGTAATACATGCCTAGTACTTAACACTTCCATACTCTGAGCTCAAATGGAACTGCAATTATTTTGTCTTTTTCTGCAATTGTGTTGGTTGATTACTTTGCTTTTTTCCTTTTTTCTTAAAATAATCAAGTTGGATTTGGGTTTGATGTTTGCTTTGTTTTTTGGGGTTTTTTTGTTTGTTTTTTTGTTTTGTTTTGGGTTTTTTTTTGGTTTTTTTTGCATTTGCACTTTTTGTAAAGCCTCTGAGTTCTGTCTTGATAAATTTTATGTCTCTTGAAATTGATATTTTCTTTCTTTTTTTTTTATTTTTCTTTACATTCATTAGTTTCCTCTAAGATGCTAGTATGAGAATGTAAAGGAATACTGGCTTTTCCAAAGGAGAAAGAATGTAAACCTTCACTTTTTTTCCTAGAGATCAATGCTTTTATCTTTTAAATTTAAAGTTAAATAATAAAAGGTCTGATGTCACAGATTTAACTGGAGGATGCCTGACCATTACAGGAAATGGAGAAGTATTGTACCATAAAATGTTTGTCTAAAGAGTATGTAGAATTATAATAGGTTTCACCTTAACATTTTAATAAGCTTTTATTTATCTCTAATTTGTTAGCGTTTATATACATGACTTTTTTTTTTTTTTTTTGTCCATAACGTATAGCTAAGTTGTATGAGTCTGGTTTTCAAACTCATGGGTTTTGCACCCACAATTTTGGAGACTGAAGTGATGTTATTTAGAATTTCAGTGCCAAATATCCAAGTATACTGATGCTAAGTAAATAAATACTAATCCTAAAAATGCAATCAAAATTATAATAATCTAACTGCATTAAATAGTCTAGCAAATAGTTGTGAGTGAAGGAATGCACCTACAGTTATTTGGCCTTCAAAATTGTGGGGAGGGAGGGGGGTTGAGAAGAGGCCAGACTCGTCAAAAGAGGCCTTTGGACCTTCTTTCCTTGGGAATATTAATTTTTCTGTATTTGCATTCTGAAATACCTATATTTGCCCATATTCAACTTAATTTTTTTTCCTATTTCATAATACAAATTATTTGAGATAAATTTCTGGTGACTTTTAAAAAAAATCTAGAGCTACTGTTCATAAACTTAATGACTAAACTGTTATTTTCAAGTTCACTGCATATGTTCCAATCATTCCTATACTCAGCTAGGTGCAAAGAAAAGCCAGTTTCCTTGGTTCATGGGTATTGATCACCTCATTTGTTTGGGGTTTTTTTTGTTGTTGTTTTTTTATGTTTCCTTTGCTGCACTTTTAATTTAGTTTCATCAGTAGCTTGTCTTTATTTGCCTGGACTGAACATTCTTCTTTCTTTACCCCCTATTCATTGCAAACAGCCACGGGGCAAATGTAGTCTCTCACAGCCTGGACCCTCTGTCAGCAGTCCACATAGCAGGTACCTTATTCTCCTGGTTTCCGCACTCTGTTCTAGAACCCCAAGAGGATGATGAAAATTGGCCGTAACTCCTCTCCATCCACACTGACTTTGTCAGGTGGCCAGAACTCAAATAAGTGAAAACTTCCCTTTTGTTAATAGTTTGGCAAAAGGGGCTCTCAATTACTTCAAATTCTTTGTTAAATAGAAGTACCAGCTAATCCTTGAACATCTACAGCTTTTGTTTCTGAATGCCATGTAATCAACATTTATTTTTCACATGCCTGATCAGAGAATGTATGTGTTTACACTCATGATATTTAATTATTATTTTATTTTGGCATGATTTAACAGTAGGTTCATGGCAAACACTTTTTATCATCCTCTTTACCTCTAGATATTAAATTGAGGCAGGTAGTAGGCCAACACTGTATTTTAGAATTCACAAAACCCACAGATCTGAATGAGACATACTAATGTCCTTTTGTTTCTTTCTTTTTTGTTGTTTGTTTTGGTTTGGGTTTTTTTTTGTTTGTTTGTTTTTCCCTGAAATGTTTAGTTCAGTTTGTGGGTTTTCAGCACTTATGACTCAAAGTGAAAAGCCAGAGTTTGAGGGTTTTGAGATTTGGGGTCACTTTCTCTCCCTTCCTAAGACTACTGCAATATAACATGCTAACATTGCCATGACTCTTGCCAACTGCTTGCATATATGTATTGCTCAGGAAGCAGCACTGCCCCATCTTTGTCTGACCAGTAGAGAGCAGTCTTACAGCTACAGCTTTTTGCTTTCCACCATGTCTCCAGCAACCTGTCATCTCTGCACCTAACAGTGCTTCTGCATTCTTTATTGTTGTCGGTGTGATGTGTTTACCTTCACTCTTTCAATGATGAGTTCACTAACCTCTAGAATTATGAAGTTCAAAAACAAAAAAGTAACTGAGCAGGTCAATATGTATAAAGAGGACTTCTTTTGCTATTTCAACAGCTTATGCAACATCTAAAACAATTAGAAAAAAAAAAAAGACTAATTCATTTTTAAAATAACTCCAGTTAAAGTGAAAGATTTGATGTTAAAAGAAGGCAACACTAGATTTAGTACAGTGATTGAGCGATAACCAAGCAGGCAAAAAATATCTTAAGAGTATTACTTTTTTCATGAGCAAACCCAAGGCTTCATTCAGCAGAATTATTCTCATATAAAAATGAAATATTTATATATGGACAAGGTGACAGGACAAGGGGAAATGATTTTATACAGCAGTGGAGGTTTAGGCTAGATCTTAGGAAGAAGTTCTTCAGTCTGAGGGTGGTGAGTCTCTGGCATAGATTGCCCAGAGAGACTGTGGATGCCCCTTACCTGGAGGTGTTCAGGGCCAGGTTGGATGAGGCCTTGAGCAACCTAGTCTGTTTGAGAGGCGTCCTGGCCCATGGAGGGGAGGTTGGATTAGATGATCTCTAGGGTCCCTTCCAACCTAAGCCATTTTATGAATTAAAGAATAAACCTACTTATGTAGATATTTAACTTAAATACTTAACATAAACACATTTTTTTAAAAAAAAAAGCTTGCTTTATATGTGTAGTTAATGACTGTGAGTAAAGTGGCATAGCTGCAAAACCATGTAGCATAGCAGATAGAACAGGTAGAGTATATTTCATTGCTTCCACTGACACCAAGAAGATGCCTTATTTTTATTGATGTTTTTTCTTTGAAGAATAAGGAAACCACATCGAAAATAGGTGACATGCACAACCCATCTTTCTGTCTGATGGAGAAATAGAATTAACTTTTCCAGCTCCAGTCTGCTGTGAAACTTGAAATTTTGTTTTTTATAGGGATTGGAATAAGGGAGGAGTGGGACTTTACTCTGCAGCCATTAACAGCTAAGAGGAATGGAGGATGTCTTTGGCAGCATGCTTGCACTAGCAACGTTGTACTCAGGTCTCTTCCGCCTTCCTGTATGGTCACACAACTTGTTCCAACCTTTTGAGAAGGTTTCTGACTTTCAAGTGTGAGCTGCAGACTCAAAAAGCAGCTTGCAGTGCTTTGCAGCTTTGAGATCAACCTCTGTTCTAGCAGTGGCATTGGTGCGGCACCTTTCAGATCAAGTCTTTTCAGCACTGTTTATTAACACATCTTGGAGCAGTACAACACAATGTTCAATTTGTCATTCAGGCAAGCATGGAATACGAATGAGTCACTGCTGAATAGGAAACTTAATCAAATGCGCAAGCCAGACAGGTTGTGGTTGATGTATAATGTGGTTTTAACTGATAAAGCAGTACAAGCTGTCACTGTGTTCTTTAATATTTTGACATGCCTCTGATCAGAGTACTTTGTGTTTGATCTTGCACTGGATCAGCAAACTCTGTTGGAGTTTAGTATACAGAAGAACTAAAGGTTTATCCCATAGGAGATTGTGAAAGAAAGTTCATTTAAACATTAGAAGGCCTGAGTTATGTGTGTAACAAGTGTGATACCATTTTGCCTTCTCCATTATCACAGCAAAAATGCTAGCATACATAGTGTGATGCTAAGCAAGGTATAACCATAAACTAGATGTTGCATTTTGGATTTAACGAAAGGCTAATTCAAGAGGTATTAGTAATCATGTGCTAAGTGGGAAAAGCAAATCCAAGAACCAACTCCTCTTTATTCGCTAGTTTAGTAAAGCTGTCATAAATGCATACCTGAATCTGTGCCTGTGGATTTATTTGAAGTTATTAAAATGTTAAAAAAAGCTTAAAATAGTGGTTCCATTTGCTCAGGGGGGCGTTACATAGCCTCTGTTCAGCAGCTCTATTCAAGTCTTGGTGCCACAATGCTAGTCACCATTTCCCACTCTCTCCAAGTCCCCCCTAAATGACTAGTGAATCTTTAAAGGTCACTTGTTACTCCTGGAGCAGACCAGACCACAGGAATTTCCTTGCCTATGCCAACAAAATGGCAGCCATTGCCACACAGTAGCTCAAGCACAAGGTTTGAGCTTGGCTTGCTGATTCTTCTCCCAGTTCTCTTACACTGTCATTCAGAGCTTGTTACGTAAAACTGACATTTAACTGCCATTGAAATGGATGTATTCATCTTCCTTACAGGGTTAGCTGGACCTGGGGTTGGGGTGATGTGATTCAGAGAACTAGGGAGAGAATTGAAGTCAGAACACAGCCAAATAAGGTCCCTTACAGAGTCACTTAGGGCCACCAAGAGGATGCGTTGCCTGCTCTTGTGGGCACAGCATGATCACTTCTCCTTCATAACTCTAGCAACCTCCATCTTAAAAAATTACAATAAATGTCATTATCAAATTTGATTTCTCTGATTATCTGAAAGTGTAATAATTTCCACCTTGAATATATCCATGGTTAGATGTCGTACTCTAGTTTTGTGCCAACATCATCTCTTCATTTACTTTAACAACTGTTCACCCTTAATTCTGTTCTGCACTGCTTTGTAAAGGACAGTTTTAGTATCTGACAGATTTTAAATTGGTAAGCCCGACTCTTTATTTACTTCAAAGGATAAATACTCCATTTTTTTGACTCTTTTGAACTTGTGTAAGGTTGAATTCATCTTCCAGAAGTATGTTAACCAAAATGATACAAATTACTCCAGGTGAGATCTGACTAGTCCCTTAATAGAACATCATTAAACCCACCCCTTTTCTCTTCTGGAAATCTTGAACTAGAATATATTTTAAAGTCTCTTTTGTCCTTTTTCACAGCTCTTCACAAGACACATTATTGGTTTCGGACTCCCCTGTGTTGAACAGTTCTAGATTCACTTAGTTACCCTCTGAGTATGGACTTCCAAATTTATAACAGAAGTTTCTCTTTCTAATGTGCTATAATCTTTAACTCCTTGGGCTACTTTTTAAATCTATTGGATTCACTCACTTTTTTTTCTGTGCAAGAAACCAATCCTATTTTGTATTTGCAAAGGATTCCAACTTCTGTCATCTACAGATGTAATTTGCTGTTCTTATTTTTAATACCATAGCCTTTTCATAGGGATTAAATTGAGACTTATCCTTGATTAACTCCAGTAATAACATCCTACTAGGCCAGCAGTGCCTCTTTCAATGTAAGGCTGTTGTCTGCATTCCTGTATTTATTTCTATCAGCTTTGCTTGAACGAAAAATTCTTCAGTTATAATCTTTCTGCAGTACAGATAGATTACTCCAACTGTATTTTCCTTGGGAAAAAAAAATAAAAGAAGGTACTTGTCTGAGCAGAAATTAAAGTTCACTTTTCCTGTTCAATCTATAGTGTGGTAAATTAGCTTCTCA